GACATTTATATCATCGGCACTATCACTTGCCATGACAGGCTTGTCTTCCAAAGTAATTGTGGAGGCCTAGGGGGCATCGGGCTTTTTTGATCCCGAAGCTGTTGCAGAAAAAGACCTCGGCTTTTTTGGTTATTGGGATTCTGGTGGTTGAGACTCAGAGCGCCTCTTCCCAGCAGAAGGTTGAGATTTATCACTCTCAGCCAACTTTGAGATCGGCTAGATGTCTTCAGATTCAACCTGAGCTATCTTAGCCTTTAGTTGAGCCTTCTTTATTCTTTTCAACTTCGGTGGAGGTTGGATTTGTGTTGGCTGCTCATCAACAGATGATGGAATACTGGCCAGAAGATCTTTTGCAATTGGTTTTGGGCGGCCCATCTCGGCAGTAAGGACAAGTCGTCGCCGACGTTTTCGCTCTAATATCGGGACCAAGTATGGAGCCGAGGTTGATGGCTGATTAGCTGGATCAGATGTTGATCCTTGATCTGTTCGTGATGTGGATACAGTCAATGGAGTTGTAGCAGAGGGTGGAGAAAGGCTTTTCTTCTTCCTTTTGGGAACGTCGGGCAAAGTTGATTTTTATGATGGAATAAAATTGAGAAGCACAAGCGCTTTCCTTTTATGGACTGGCAAGTCCAGAAGTTTCTTCAAGTCCTTGCTGGGGACAAAGGATTGCTGAAAATTTTTCGGTGGCTGACGAACAGCTGCAAGAAGAACAGACGTCAGAAACAGACAAAGTATTTAAGACTTCGAAAGAAAACAGACAAAGATGAATATTGGGCTCTTACCCTTACCCTCTAAAACTGATCGGGGAAGAGGGTAGAGATGGATGTCCTCGTCTGGAGCAAACTCCCAATTTCCCAAGGTAATGAGATAGTCATCTCCAGCCCCCTTGTTGGAGTCTGGGAGGTCGACTACGATTTTGAATTCTGTAGACCTCGGCTTAAGGTAATAAATGTAGCCTTTTTCTTTCAAATTAAGGGCACACATGGTATAGCAATACTGGATATCGGCTAGGGTGATCCTAGCGTTTTCCTGTTTAGCTAAGGCTATGACACCAAAGATCACTCGATAGGAATTGATTGCCAATTGCATGGGGTTCAACTTATAATAGTGAAGAATCTCGCGAAAAAGGATGTTGAGTGGGAGCCGGAGTCCGTACTCAGTAAAAGCTACAATGAGAAAGGGCATGGAGTTTTCTGTAAGCATGATGGAGTCATCATCCCTAGCCAACCTCAGATGGACATCGGTAGGGATGGAGAACTCTTGCCTAAAGTACTCAAGTTTGGTTGGGGTATCTACCCTATGTCCCCACATACCCATGATATCGGCCTGAATTAGAAAGGTTGGAATTCAGAAAAAAGATATTTCTTATTGATGGGACCTCGGCAAAAACCCAAGTTTGGGCTGGTACAGAAATTTGTAAGGAATGTTTCAGTTTTGCCTTAAATCGTGGGTTCAACAAAAAAATCCCAAACCTAAAACTATGTAGATGAATATCAAAGGTACAGATCTGGAAAAGACACAAAAAACAGAAAGCAAGAATGAAATTTCAGAATCAAGAACAGAGATGGTTTATCAAGAGCATAAAGAATACAAAAAATACAGGGCCAAGATTAGTGACAAAGATACAGGGAAGTAATGAAACAATACGTGTGTTCAAGATATGGGCAAAGGCAAAATCATGGGAAGGACGCATTCAGGTGTATGAATCGCAAATTAAAAATTTCAACAGATGCAGTAAAGGCAACAAGTAATGAAGAATATCAACAGAATTGAAAACGAAAGAAACAGTAGTTTACCAGAAAAGAGTGAACCCGGTATGAAGATTGCCGAAGTCCGATGATGGTCGCAGGAGTAACAGAGTAGCGAAAGCTTCACCAGAAAGACGAATGAAGACAACTACAGAGCTTGGAGCTTGAGCAATGGCGGATTCGAAAGAAAGAGTTTAGAGAGAGAGAAAAAACAAGAGAAATCAGATGCAAAAGTGGAAAAATAAAGAAAGGGGAAAGGTTTTTGTCAAAAATGAAAACGACGGCAAAAAAAAATAAAATAAATAAAAATAGAATAATAATATGCCTAGAAGAACGTATACGTCAGACGGCGCACGTGCGAAAGAGACGGCTTATGGGCGCGTCACAGGTACGAACCAGTAAGAAAGAAACGTGTGGTTAAAAACGGTTGAATTATGGTGTATGACAGCTCATACGCGTGGAAGGATTCTTGAAGTTATTGTTCTTCAATAAAAGGATATTGGCCAAGAAAATGATCTCGGCTGAGGAATTCTTAAGCCGATGTACAGAAGGAAGTACCGATATAGGTTTCATCACCTTAGAATGCCGAGGTAATAGAACCTAGGGAGCAGTTGTGGGGATATATTTCTGAGTACCAATACGTGGCAAGGGGACGCCGACGTGTCAGCCGAGGTGCCACGTGTCCTGGTCGTGACGCCGAGGTGAACTCGACAAGGCCGAGGTTATCCCCAAAGATATCGGAATCCGAGATAAGAGAATAAAAGATAAGGACAAGAGTCCTAAAGTAAAAAGGAGACTTAGTCAAGATGAGGATAAAGCTCTTACAAAGTTTATCTTTATCTCTTGAGGAGTCCAAAGTAAGTACTGAATTGGAGTCCATAGAAGTCAGGCTTCTAGTGACTAGGATTGAGTTAACTATAAAAGAAAGGCACCCCCATGGGTCTAAGGTACGCAATTTGTGCTTTGAGCAGTGAGTTTAGCACTTTTTAGAGATATACTGACTTGATCGTTGGAGTGTCCCCGGGTGGAAGAGCCACCGCCGGAGCCTTTTCTTTCTGTTACAGGTTAACTGAAGCCATCTATTCTGCCAGTGCTCTCTAGCTGATTACTAAACTGGCAGTGTGGTTAGAAAATTACTCACACACTAAGTCAAAATAAGAAACTACCACTGGGATCACTCAGATGGAGGTGATCATTGTGGCATCAACGGTATTCTTATGTATTTTCCACAATGGGGAGGCGTCGTATTGAAAGCTTCCAAGGATATGGGAAAGTGTAATGTATAGTATTATTATGGGTTGGAGTGGAGTGAGGAAGAGAGGGAAATGGGTTAGAGTGGAGTGAGGAAGAAAGGGAAAATGGTTGCACCATGGAAGCCTTAAATTTGCCAAGAACTGCGTGTCCGAGCAAGGCCACTCGCCCACATGTTTTCTCTCCACCACCTTATTTTACACCAAACATGGCTATGTTGTTAGGGATCATTCACCAAACGTGTATATATTGGAGAAGGTATGAATACTAAAAAACTGATTATAAAATTACTCAAAATTTCAAATCAATGGTGTATATTTAAATTTCTTGTTGTCGGCCCAATTTATAAATTAATTTAGACCATTAATTGTAAATTTTAGATAATTTTCTTAGAGTTTTTGTTGCGGTCTGTAGATCTGTTGTATATTAAAGATAAAGTTGGTGTAGTTCTTTTATATCAATTATAATATGATGATTATCAAAAAAAATTCATATATATAAATATATATTAGTGGTATTATTGAAATTATAAGTCACGATAATAAAATTAAGTTTTAGTTTAAGATGAAAGAAGCATAAATTTTATATAAAGTTTATGTATCTACATATCATTACTAAAATGAAATATATATGGAATTGATTCAATTAGTAGTGTCAAACCAAAGTTGAATATATATATATATATATATATTTAAAGAAATTCTATCAAAATGGTGATATTATAATTTGACTTAAATTGTAATGAGTTGATCACAATTAAAAATAAAAAGTCAAAATAAGATTAGTAAAAATATAGGGTACTAGGTGTAATTAACTATGATTTAGATATCAAATTCAAGCGTGTCAGGATGAACGTGGGCTGGGATAGGGTTGGGTATGGGCCGAGGCTTACTTGTTTTCACTTTTGTGCTTTCTTTCTTTCTTTAATTTTATTTGTGTTCTCTTTTTGGAAAATTTTACGGTATACCTTTCTAAAAAAGTATGTATTATGTGCGTCATATTATGTATTTTTGTAATATATATTATATATTTTTGTGACAAATATTAACTATTTTCTTGATAGAATTACGATAATTTATAGTTCACATTTTGTGATAATGTTACACATTTTTTAACCAGAAAATATGTAATATTATCACAAAAATATGTAAACATTACTATAAAATGTGTAAGTTCATTTTTGAATCATAAATTATCGTAATTTTACAAAAAAAAAATTACATACCATTTATCATAAAAATGCATAACATACATTACAAAAATACATAATAAGGGTGTATATGATACACACCTTTTGACAGGTATATGACCATAGCATTATCCCTCACTTAAAGATCCTATTTAAATTTAACAATTTTAAGAATCTTATGGGAGATCCAGAAATAAATAAATATATATATTTCATGATCAATGAGAAAAAATTACATATATATTAAGAAGAGTGCAATTATTTCTTAGGTAGAAAAACACGGCAAAAATTACATTTCACAAAGATTCTCATTTTCTTGTAAATATTTACCTCACCTCTCATTGATTAGTAGTCTCTCCTTAAAAATAAGAGTAAATTACACTGACCTCCTTTGAAATTTAAAAAAAATACTAAAAGTCTCGTAATTTCAACATAATTATATAGATTTTCCTTTTAGCAAGTTTAAAAAGACTCAAAATAATATGGATGGTATGAAGACAAAATTAACAATACACAATATGAAAACATTATTATAAAAAAGACGACAATATCATTTTTTTAGTAATACGACTAACGAATTTATAATAAAAAAGAGCCAAGTATTATATAAATTAACTTTAAGAAAACTTATTGATTTCCTTAGTTTGCATGTGTACCCATGATATGTAGTACTTATTGTGTGAATCCACACCCAAAAAAAAAAAAAAAAAAAAAAAAAAAAAAAAGCACAGTAAAATTTATTTATCCAAACACAAAAAACATTTTTCCTTATAAATATAGCAACCACACACACAAACACATCTACCATTATGACTACCAGTGCTTCTAGCAGTAGTAGAAATACCAAAAACCAACTACTAGCAGAGGAAGAAAAAGAAGCTAAATCTCAAACTCAAACTCATTCATGGCTGCAGAGGAAAACATCACAAGCTTCAGAACACAGATGCACGTGCAGATCCTTGGGCGAGAAATGCAGCCATCTAGTGAAGAAGCAGAGGGCGAAATTCTACATTCTCCGTCGTTGCATAACAATGCTAATCTGCTGGGATGATCACAGCAGTGACACTTGAGCTCAGTTGTACTTCTTACTAATACAAGTTTGATCTATATATGTAATATGTATATGACTAACATGTAGTTTTACTCATCTATAAAGCAGTTGCATTGTGAAATATTCATTAATTTAGCTTTTCACATCTATTCTAGATCTGGGTTTTGCTTCCTCCTACTAAGGGTTTTTTTGACATGATAATTATTAAGGGTTTTTTTTTTTTTTTTTTTATTTAGATGAGTAATAATATACAAACAGAATATTAATAACTCAAAATTTTTATTTTAGATCTAATAGCTGAAAGTGAGAGTGTTCATTTGGTATGCACCTCTTATGAGAAGTGAATAGTAAAAGTTTTTAAAAATAATAGAAGAATGAAAATGAAAACATATATATATAATTTTTATTTATTAAAAAACAAAAAAACTAAATTAATATGGTAATCACATTTTTTATAATTATAAAACATATTGATGCACAGGTAAATAAATCATTTCATTTTATATGAAAATTAAATTTTGTTGATAAAGTATTAGTTTTATCTATCATGTTCCCTAATCTCCAAATTGAACTTTGATTACTTTGTCAATTCAGACAACATATCCTCTAGGTGTCATGCCTCCACAACATCAAACCAATAACTTAAATTTTTTTATTTATTTATATTTTCCTCAATTTTTTCAACTCTTCATACAATGTCTTGCATCCTCAATCCCACCCACCAGACCGTCTTTGTGTTTCTTCTTGTGCAACCAAAAGGTTAAAGCTCCAAATCAATTCAAATTTGGAGGCCCATATATGGGACATATCATATATGAAAATCCATTTAGTTTTTTTTTTCCAGTTTATATTGTATTACTCTTACCATGTGTTTGATTAGATTCTTGAACCATTTTTATAGTTTATTTGAATGGAATGATTTGATAAAAATGATTAAAAAATGAAGAAAAATACAATATTTTCTCTTCTTTTTTTTTTCTATAAATTGAGATAGAACTATTTTATTTTAACTATTTCATTTCTAGTCAAAAGTTGTGAGATTTTGTACACAACAAATTGATTTATTATAAAATTTTCATGATATCTAGATTACCCATTAAAATTCAAAGGAAGACAATGAAATATCAATAATATGATATCATTCTCAAATATATATATTTTTTTTTTCCTTATCCAAATATATTTATTTTAACTATTTCATTTCTAGTCAAAAGTTGTGAGATTTTGTACACAACAAATTGATTTATTATAAAATTTTCATGATATCTAGATTACCCATTAAAATTCAAAGGAAGACAATGAAATATCAATAATATGATATCATTCTCAAATATATATATATATATTTTTTTCCTTATCCAAATATAACAGTAAGAAAACAGAATTATATCTTTTCTTTTTCACACTTAGATCAGAAATCAAAATAATTTATTTTATACCAAACTTAAACCCTAAATCCTTATAATTACTCCATGAGTGAACAAAACAACTATACAAACCCACAAGTTTAATGTAAATTCAAATCATGTACAGGGAGGGATGAGAAAATAAGATAGAAAAGAAAATGAAATTTAAATAACTGAATAAAGAAGGGTAGAAGATTATGTTTTGATCATGAATTTTACCAGCATTTTATCCACCTTAATCTTTATTTAAATTCATAAGCCAAACATAGTTTAAGAAAAATTGTCGGTAGCTTTAAAGATTTTAACGGGTTTAAATTTAAATCTCTAAATCATATGATCCAATCTGTAAACAGTCTGGACGGTGTTGTTGGGTCTTGGTGGGCTCGCATCCAAGTCATCTCAATAATTTAAGCCGTTCAATGTGTAAAACTCATTAAGTATATCATCCCTGCAAAAAGTTACATTGATTGAATATCGATAATTATTTAATCATATTGCATTTGTGTCTATGATTTATTTTAAAATCAAAATTACTATTAAAACAAATATAATATAATTAAGTGACTATTGATATCCGATCAATATAATTTTTTATAAGAATAATACACTCAATGTGTTTTATATATTAGATAATTTAAATTATTAAAATAAATCTGGAGTCAAACCCACCAAAACGACGTCGTTTTGACAGATTTGAGCCATTTGAGCCACAAAAATTTGAGCTACCTAGCATTGTCGTTATTTTAAAATCAAAATTATTGTTAAAACAAATATAATATAATTAAGTAACTATTGATATCCGATCAATATAATTTTTTATAAGAATAATACACTCAATGTGTTTTATATATTAGATAATTTAAATTATTAAAATAAATCTGGAGTCAAACCCACCGTGGCGAATAATACGGTTTAGTTCGATTCGAAATAGGAGAGAAGCAAATGTCATACTGGTATGTATGTGAGAGATTGAGGAAGAGAGAGATGGGTCATGGGGTGGGTCAGACAGAGTAAGGGTCTAAGCCGACAGCAAGAATCCTCGAGAGAACGTACGTCACTATTAAGAATAATACAGTGATCATGAAAAAATATATCATAAAATATATTACGAAGATTTTTTATTTTTTAACCAATATGTAATATTTTATTGTATGTGTAATTTAAAAGTGAAGAATATTTTATGATTATTTTCATGATATTTTTTTATAATTCCTAACATTACTCCACTATTAATCGATACAACTCTATTCTATATATTGAAATTATTTATATTTTTTTTATAAAAAATTTTGGATAAATAATATAAACTTTTTGATATAATTCTATTGATTTTTTTGAAGTTCTAATTCACAAACACTTTTTTTTTTCCCCTCTTAATATAAAAATTAATATAAATTTGATAGGGCATGTTGGATTGGCTTATATGTATATAATTGACTTGAGTTTGATTTTGCCAAATACTTGACAAGTGGAAATCGAGCTCAATATTTTAAACTCAATTTGAGCTCAATACTTGATTAATTCTTAGTGAGTTGAGCTCAAACACCCTAAAACTTAGCTCGGCTCGTTTGTACAATAAATCAATTACTGAACAAGCATAATATGGATTCACATTTGTAAATACAAACCGTTCTATATATATTCGGTGATAGATTTATTAAATTACGTAGAGACTTCTCTCTAATCTTAGTCCATTACAAATGACTTCTAAATAAATGAATTTAACAGTAAAAATATAATTCTTGACAGACTCGTAAATCAAAACTAATATGATCTGATATACAATGGCTATGTTTGATAAACCAATTTCTAAAGTCTATCTCAATCTTAACCTTGCTAGTAATCTTAATTAACCTAATTGGACAATAAATTTAAATAAATAAATGAAAGTAATTGGTTTAGACAGAAAGGATGAGCACAAGGCCCCGTGTGGGCATGTCCTGTTTTTTTCACTCTAGCCTCCACCTATAGTAATAATTCAAATAAATAAATAAATATGAGCCATTCATTAATTTAGGACCCCACAGACTTGGACTTTCTAGAAAACCAAATATATAGAAGTCTGCTGATGATCAGATCACACGGACGAAATCCAATGCCACTATAATTTTTTCTTGGTACCTGTTGGCCACCCAATGATCACCTTTTCTCCTACAACCCTTCAAGTAACTGTGTTGTTACATACCCTAACTAATATATTAATTAATATATTAATATTATTTATAACTAATTTATTATCCATATTCTGCACAGGATAATTATAAATATTTATAATTATTATTAATTTTTTTAATATATAAATTATGTTTTTAAATATTTTTTATAAAAATAATTTAACAATCTTATCACAAACTATAGTGTATATGAGAAATTAAAAAGGCTACTGCAGTAACTATGCACGGGCTGTATCTATAATTATTTGTATGAGGAGATTTTAAATACTGATCAGAGATTTTGATCAAATCAATAAATGCAGACATGTGAAAAAACATGTAGATTGAAAAAAGTTAATAAATGTTGATAAGGCGATTTTGACCAAATCAATAAATATTGAGTTTTTTTTAAAAAAAAGGCTACTGCAGTAACTATGCACGGGTTGTATCTATAATTATTTGTATGAGGGGATTTTAAATACTGATCAGGGATTTTGATCAAATCAATAAATACAGACATGTGGAAAGACATATAGATTGAAAAAAGTTAATAAATACTGATCAGAAAATTTTGACCAAATCAATAAATGCTGAGTTTTTTTTTTTTTAAATACAAAATTTAGAAAATTAAGGTTAGGAGATTGGAGCTCCTATAAGGCTTGGGATTTAGAAACTCCATTTTCCTTAATATATATAACTAGCCTATCACACGTGCTATGCACGAGATAATTATAAATATTTATATTTGTTTTAAAAAAAATTAATATATAAATTATGTTTTTTAAGATTTTTTGTAAAAATAATTTAACAATCTTATCACTAACCATAGTGTATGAGAGAAGTTGAAAAGGGTACTGCATTAACTATACACAGATTGTATCTATAATTATTTATATGAGGGGATTTTAAATGCTGATTTGCAATAGGTATGTGAAAAGTTAAAAAGAGTGTGTGTATTGGAGAAATTAAAAAGACTTGGAAGAATTTAATAAGTGCTAAGTTTTTTTTTTCAAAAAAAATCAAAAAATTAAAAAATTAAGGTTCAGATATTGAAACTCCCACAAAACTTGTGGGTTAGATACTGCAGTAACTATGCACAGGCTGTATCTATAATTATTTGTATGAGAAAATTTTAAATACTAATCAGGGACAATAAATGCAGGCATGTGGAAAGACATGTGGATTGAAAAAAAGTTAATAAATACTGATAAGGGGATTTTGACAAAATCAATAAATGTTGAGTTTTTTTTTTTTAATAAAAAATTTAGAAAATTCAGATTGAGATATTGAAGCTCCCACAGGCCTTGAGATTAAAAACCCTTTTTTGCTTAATATATAGTATAGATAGATAGATAATATATATATATATATATATATATATATATGATGAGAGAAATAAAGTGCTATATTATTATAATGGAGGAGATCTTATAAAAAAAACGTGTAGACATGAATGCCCTCCTATTTTTGTCACGACTCAAACCCGCCCCTATGGGCTTAGTACCGTAACCGACCAGTAACTCGAGATTACTGAAGGCCTGCTTAACAGTAATACAGTAATACAGAGTACAGGGGCTAGCGGAA